CCACCTTGTTTCACATCATTTATCATTTTGTCATTCAGGTTCCTATTGTTGCTTGTTTGTGTATTGTTTTATTTACACAGCCTACAAACAAACATTGTAAAGGCATTATTTGACACTGTTTTACTATTATCATACATGCAGTGTTTCTTCCAGGCTTTTTTCTCCGGGGGGGGGGCACTTGAAATTTTTGGGGGGCGGTAGATTTTTTTCGGGGGGGGGGGGGCGGACACTGTTAAAAGTATATATTTTCTATAAAAATCATATAAATTTCATTTCGTTCGGGGGGAACACAAACCAACTGCACAAAATACGTTGGGAGGTGTTTCAACTGCCAACAACCGGGTCACATGATTAAGAACTGTCCGCATAGAAACTCAAACGTTGGGGTCAATAACCAGGCTGCGGGTCAAGAAAACCCCAGAGACACAAACACTCATGCGCCACACAGTTATTACAGCCAACAACATAGACCGAGGCAGGACGAAAATCATAACAATGATTACAACAACCACAACAGTAGCCCAGATAATGAGGGAGTAGAACAAGCACCGTTACTACAGATCTCACCGAAAATGTCAACGCTAATGGTGAATGTGGGAGCTTATACGGTAGAGGCGGTTAGAGACACGGGTTGCTCTACTATTGCTGTAAAAAGTAGCTACGTCAAACAGCACAAATACACGGGTGAATGGAAAATGGTATGTGACGGGACAAGTCCCAGCCTTAGTATTCGAACGGGGATCATTCGACGTAATCATCGGGAATGATATCGGGAGAGAGACCATACCACAAAACTATCATTCTAATGCAGCGGTAAGGTGATATTTGATCTGGTCACAGTCTGGGACGGAGCACACAACAAGACGGCGGTGAGACAACACACGTGTAAGACATTTGTTCTACAATATACATTATGTAGCATGGCGTCTTTCGACAAGTTGTACCGAAGGAGAGAAAAATCGACGCCGGATCCAAAGTTAAAAACAAGTACCGGTATACTTTTGTTAAGTTTCTTTCGTATGTATGTTTACTGTGTTTATTGTTAATTGTTATATACGAGAAATGTAAATGATGATGTTCTTGCAGAGACTGAAGGTGGATTGTACCCAACAAAAGTATGCTACGGGTGGTGCCGAGTCAACGATCGGTTGTCGTTTGTGTGTGATGTTTAATTAAACATATTTCAAATGTTCTATACAGGGTTACTATGTAGCTATTCTTGGGAATGTAATATGTACATGATTTCCATGTCTTCGTACTAGGTGTATTTTACAGAGTACAAGTTTGATATGGTGCGTCTATTCGGTGTACTACAGACTTACGGAAAGTCATTGGAGAGATAACTCAACTGTCCCATTGCGACTGCTAACATCGTAGTTATATATATATATATATATATATATATATATATATATATATATATATATATATATATATATATATATATATATATATATATATATATATATATATATATATATATATATACATATTGTGTTGAGTTATTGGTTTTCTTTTTTTGTTAATTCCGTCGATTGCATCAGCTAGGGACAGATGGAGGGTAGGCCTATGTGGCCATGTAATGTGTATGAAAGGTGAATACGTGGAAAGGATCACTGCGTGTGTGTATGTATCATGTAGTGAGACGCGAGGCCGGGTGTGTTGACGTGTATGTTGTTGTACGGAGTGAACGAGGGTACAAGGCAAGCGACTGGTCGGGTGACAGTGGCCGTGTTGTGAGCGAGAGAAAGTTGGTGTGTAGGGATGAATGCGGAGGACAGTTGAAGGTTGAGGGAAAAGCAAACAGGTTGATGTGCGACTAGGGGCGCGTTTGAAGAGAAATAAAGGATACTGTGATACCTAGCCTCAATCGTGTTGGTTGTGCATTCTTTGAGATTCAGACACCCTCACACACATCTATACATATATGCATAAATACACATACATATACACATATATACATATGTAAATTTATACATATGTATATATAAACATATAAACATATATACACATATACATATGTACACATACACATACGCATATATACACATATATACATATGTACACATATACATATATACATATATACATATATACATATATACATATATACATATATACATATATACATATATACATATATACATATATACATATATACATATATACATATATACATATATACATATATACATATATACATATATACATATATACATATATACATATATACATATATACATATGTACATGTATACATATATACCTATATACGCATACACATATGTACACATACACATACACACATATACACGTACAAACATATACAGACATATACATACATACATATATACATATATACATATATACATATGTACATATGTACATATGTACATATATTCATATATACATATATACATATATACTCATATACATATGTACACATACACATACACACATATACACATATATACACATACACATATACATATATATATATATATATATATATATATATATATATATATATATATATATATATATATATATATATATATATATATATATATATATATATATATATATATATATATATAAATATATATATATACATATATACATATACACATAACCAAAAATATACACACATATACACTCATATACACATATAAACATATAAACATATACACATGTACACATATACACATATACACATATACACATATACACATATACACATATACACATATACACATATACACACATTCACATATACATACATACACATATACACACATACACATATACACGCATACACATATAGACACATACACATATACACACATCCACATATACACACATACACACATACCTAGATACACAAATACACATATACACACATACACACATACACACATACACACATACACACATACACACATACACACATACACACATACACACATACACATATACACACATACACACATACACACATACACACATACACACATACACATATACACATATACACATATACACATATACACATATACACATATACACATATACACATATACACATATACACATATACACATATACACATATACACATATACACATATAAATTTATACATATGTATATATAAACATATAAACATATATACACATATACATATGTACACATACACATACGCATATATACACATATATACATATGTACACATATACATATATACATATATACATATATACATATATACATATATACATATATACATATATACATATATACATATATACATATATACATATATACATATATACATATATACATATATACATATATACATATATACATATATACATATATACATATGTACATGTATACATATATACCTATATACGCATACACATATGTACACATACACATACACACATATACACGTACAAACATATACAGACATATACATACATACATATATACATATATACATATATACATATGTACATATGTACATATGTACATATATTCATATATACATATATACATATATACTCATATACATATGTACACATACACATACACACATATACACATATATACACATACACATATACATATATATATATATATATATATATATATATATATATATATATATATATATATATATATATATATATATATATATATATATATATATATAAATATATATATATACATATATACATATACACATAACCAAAAATATACACACATATACACTCATATACACATATAAACATATAAACATATACACATGTACACATATACACATATACACATATACACATATACACATATACACATATACACATATACACATATACACACATTCACATATACATACATACACATATACACACATACACATATACACGCATACACATATAGACACATACACATATACACACATCCACATATACACACATACACACATACCTAGATACACAAATACACATATACACACATACACACATACACACATACACACATACACACATACACACATACACACATACACACATACACACATACACACATACACATATACACACATACACACATACACACATACACACATACACACATACACATATACACATATACACATATACACATATACACATATACACATATACACATATACACATATACACATATACACATATACACATATACACATATACACATATACACATATACACATATACACATATACACATATACACATATACACATATACACATATACACATATACACATATACACATATACACATATACACATATACACATATACACATATACACATTTACACATTTACACATTTACACATTTACACATTTACACATATAAACATATAAACATATACACATATACACATATACACATATACACATATACACATATACACATATACACACATACACATATACATATATACACATATTCACACATACAGATATACGCACATACACATATACACATATACACATATACATACATACACATATACACACATACACATATACACACATACACATATACACGCATACACATATAGACACATACACATATACACACATCCACATATATACACATACACACATCCACACATCCACACATGCACATATACACATATACACACATATACATATACACACATACACATATACACATATACACATATATACATTTAGACAAATATACATATACACATATATACATATATACATATTTACGTATATACATACATTCATACATATATATACATAAATAATATATATATATATATAAAATGAAACGCTCTCTTTGTTATATTTCTGCGAAAAAACTGCCAGCTTATATCATGTTTTTGTGTTAAAGTGTAATAAGTGTTTTTGTGTGTTTATGTTAATGTTTATGTTTGTGTACTTTTGGTTACCGTTTGTTGATAAACGAAGAAAGCAACTGACCCCGGGATTTCCTAATCTTGTATTTGTAATTGGAGTTATTCTTATCCCTCGGTTACCCTTATCTCTTGTCCCATTTATGTAGATATTTGTTGCTCCGTCGAAACTCCCGGCGAAGATTTGAAGAAAGTTGGCATAACACTGGTCATCGACAGGAACTGCATTTGCTGCATGAAATATTAAAATTATAAAGTAATTGTTTCAACAGTTTATTACAGCTGTTTCGATTTTTTTAAAAAGAAAATTACTAACAGAGAATATTCTAAATGAACTTTGTAAAGTTAGTGGGTTTCTAAAGATATAAATTTATTATACTTGTTCGACCTCATCATTTTAGCTTTCTAATATCATTTACTTTATTTAATCGATAATTTTGACTTAGACTCATCTTTTAAAGGTTCATTATTAGTTTCAACAACGGATAACGATGATAGTCTACATCTTGAGCTCTTGTACAATAGATAACTTTTTAAATTGTTTATGGTGCGCAGTCATTTTTTGGGTTAAAAGTATGCTTAAAAAGATTCATATGTATGAAATGAGATCATCTAACTGAAACTGTACTCAAATTAACTATCTTCAGATAAAAAGAATAAAGTGTTACTTCCGGTAACTCGAAAGTTTTAAAAAGCTGTGTCGTCGATGTTATACTTATATATGTCCACCGTTATTAAGGTAAATCTTTTTTTCGGTTAGCGGAAAATCGCCAAACCATTGAGAGAAGCTTACATATAGCGTTTAATGCATACGTTTTTTATTTTCTCGTATACAGAGTATAGAGAAAGTATTGTAATCGTGGAAAAAAAAATCACGATGTTTTACAGTTCCCTGAGTCGGAAAAACATAGTTTTGCAATCTTTTCCGTATGTCTATCTGTGTGTGTATGTGTATATGTGTGTCTGTAAACACGATAACTTAAGTACCGTTACAGCTAGGTTGATGAAATTTCATATACAAGTATTATATCAAATTTGTAGTTCTATATCAACTATTCAGCGATTTCTGATAACCGAAAGTGGAACTTATTTTACTTTCAATTTTTCAAAAGCCTATAACTGTAGTACTGTTTCAGACCGATAAATGCAATTGCACATGTAAGTAAAATATCTAATTTTCTGTCTTCTTTCAAAAGTTTAATAATATCCGTTTACCGGAAGTAGTAATTTACGCTATTTCCGATTTTTCGAAAAACGCATGTGAATTTATAAAGTACTAATAATATTCCGCACTATCATACACAGATTGTTTAGCGTTCACTAGGTGCGCAATTATTTTTTCTACGAGATTCTATTCTATTTTTTAAAGTTTAAGTAGATAAAAATGGATTTAAAATATTGTTTATATCCCGATTTGCCATCCCCCGTAGTGTTATATACGAATATTCGAGAAAGTTTAGGGATCACTCTCGGTTTATGTCTATCTAATTGAAAGGGTAATCCAGTAAAAAAAGAGAAATAATATTTTTAAATGTGGCAAAAGTGACTTACACACAGCAGAAAAAGCCAGACAAAGCGTTAAAGAGATAAGGAATTTCTTCATCTTGATTTTCTAAATGTCAGAGAAATAATTTCAAAATGTATATTTTAAACCGATGCTATTTTGTTAAGAAGTGCAAGATAAGTTACATTCTAAACAAGAAAAAAACAATAATATAAAATAAATTTAGATTAAATAGCGAAATAATAGATTTTTAAAATCATTTAATTTTTAAGTTTAACCCCATGTGTTAGTGTTTGTGTGTGTTAGTTTGTGTTAGTTTGTGTTAGTGTGTGTACGTGTGTGTGAGCTTTAGTGTGTTTAGTGGGTGTGTGTGCGTGAATGAGCGCGAGTGTGCGTGTGCGTCTTCGTCTGCGTGTGCGTGTGTGTGTATGTTAATGTGTGTTTGTGTGTGTGTTCGTGTTTGTTTGTGTTTGTTTGTATTAATATGTGTGAATGCGTTAGCGTGTTTGAGTGCGTTATAGCATGTGTGTATATTAGTGTGTTAATGTGTGTGTTTGTGTGCTTGTATGTGTGTGTTTGTAAATGTGTGTTTTATGTGTTTGTGTGTGTGAATATATTAGTGTGGATAAGTGTGTGTTAGTGCTTTTAGTGTGTGTTAGTGTACGTTTGCCTGTGTGAATTTATGAGTGTGGGTTAGTGTATGTGTAGGTTCGTGTGTTAGTGTGTTTTAGTGTGTGTTAATGTGTATGTTATACTGCGTATTCGTGTGTGTGTGTGTTAGTGAGTGTTAATGTATGTATGTGTGGTTCTGTTGGTGTGCTGTGTTTTTGTACGTTTATGTGTGTGTCATTGTGTGTTAGTGTGTTAGTTTGTTTTAGCGTGTTGGTGTATTAGAGTGCGTTTTCGTGTGTTAGTGTGTGTGTGTTAATGTGTTAGTGAGTTAGTGTATATATCTATAAGTATTCATGTATTTGTGTGTGTAATAGTGTGTGTGTGTGTGTGTTAATGTTTGTAACTATAAGTGCGTTAGTGTTATTTGTTTTGTCAGTTTGTTAGTGATTCTTAGAGTGTGGGTGTTAGTGTGTGTGCGTGAGCTTATTCGTGTGTGTGTATGTGTGTGTATGTGTGTTAGTGTAAGTATGTTAGTGTGTTAGTGTTAGTGTATGTTAGTGTGTGTGTTAAAGTTGGTTAGTGTTAGTTTGTGTGTGTGTTTGTGTTAATGTGTGTGAAGGTGTTAGTGTGCCTTAGTGTGTTTAAGTATGTGTGTATGTTAGAGTGTGTAAATGTGTGTGTCTTTGTATATGTGTATGAGTGAGTATGCGTGTGTTTTTAGTGTGTGTCTGATAGTGTGTTTGAGTGAATTTATTAGTGTGTGTTAGTTTTAGTGTTTGTGTATTTGTGTGCGTCTGCTGTGTGTGTGTTAGTGTGAGTGTATTTATGTGTGTGTGCGCGTGTATGTGTGTGTGTGCGCATATATGTGTATTATTGCGTGTTTGTTAGAGTGTATGTTGGTGTGTATGTTGCAGTTGTACCGCTGAATATCGTAGTATCCATTACCCGCTATTCAGGGCACCCAATTAGCGGATACTAAGTGCTAATTTAGCTGCTCTGGCATTCTGGGCGCCAAACCGTTTATTGACAAAAACAAGCACCCTTCCGCCGCCCATAAGAAAGTTTAATTTTTTTTTTGGAAACATATTCGGGTGTATTCTCATCAACTCACTAAAGTTTCATGGCACTTGGATGAACTTGGTCAAACAGTATCCGACTTTTATTTTATATATACCGTATATAGATAAAAATCGCATAATCCATAGGCGCCGACCTTGCAAAATTAATAAAGATTTTTTTGCGGGTGTATTCTCATCAACTGCCCAACGTTTCATGGCGATCGGATGAACGTGTTTGTTTCACACTTTTGTTTGTTGTTTTATTTGGGTTCAGATTTATTGTTTAGTACTACTTCATATGTTAAGGCCTCAGATAGATTTTAAAACTGAGGTTGCAAGACAAAGTCCCAAACAAGGAATTATGGAGAAAGACAAGGAAGTGGCCTATAACACTGCAAATAAGAAAAAGGAAGAGGCGCTGGGTGGGACACACACTGCGAAAGGCTCGCCCAAATGTGACACGCCAGGCGCTTGAGTGGAACCCCCAGGGATTGCGAAAGATAGGCCTGAAGGCGGAGGCTTCTTGAAGAATAGAAGCCACAAGAGATGTCTTGGGAGATTGCGAAATTAATAGCCGGGGGTCGGACGAAATGGAAGGAAATGGTAGAGGCCCTGTGTTCCATAAGGAGCAAAGAGGACTAAAACAAGTCTTATGTTAACGTAGCTAGGTTTATTATGTTTTCGCCATTTTCTGGAAGATCTCTTTATTTATAAGTTTCTTGCTTTTTCTGCACTTTTTGAATGCATAATATTCTTTTTGAATACATTCCTTTTTATAGCTATGTCAATCTTTAGTATGTCGTATTTGAATAATAATTAAGAGAAGCAATTGCTTTTTAATTTAACTGGTACAACATTATTTAGAGAAGCTTTATGGGCATCACTATTAGACTGTTTAAAGAAGGGCAATAAGTCAAGTAAGTAGTGTGAACGTTAGCCTACCTTTCACACTACAGTTCATATAGGTTTTTAAAAATATTTTTCTAAGCAACAGTGTGTAGAACAATAGCTGTTATAGTAGACCTGTTTGTATTTTACAAAACAAATATCATGGTGCACGAAAAACATTATTTGTGAAAAAAAGTTCAATGTTTTTTTTGTGTTGGATTTCGGCCTGTCCCCCCCCCCCCAACACCCACTTCGGCATTGCGGGTGTCTGGCAGCATGGTAGTTCCGCCCCTGCGGTAAATTGGGGAGGGAGTGGAGGATATTGACCATAGGAATCCATATTTTAAAATAAGGTATGTGGTACAAACTTTAGCTGGAGTATACTCATCAAACTCGCTTAATACATTGCAATCAGATTAATTGTTAAATAATGCTTTAAAAAATTCATAAAAAACGTTTTGATAACAAGCTTTTATGTTATAATGCACTAAAAAGTAGAAAAAAAATTATACACTACTATTTAAATTACTATAAAGAAAAACGTGGGTCACTTAAGTATCTATTGGATACCTTTACTAATATTTAGGAAGAGACCCACGCTTTTCTTTATAGTAATTTAAATAGTAGTGTATAATTTATTTTCTACTTTTTAGTGCATTATAACATAAAAGCTTGTTATTAAAACGTTTTTTATGAATTTTTTTTAGTACTTTACATGTTTTTACTTACAATAGAGTTTCATGACTAAAAACCATTGCGCGCCTATTAAACGTGATAACGCGCTATTGAACGGGATGACGCTTGTGGTGTGGTTGGATAGAAATGCCTACTAATTCGG